CCCCCCCCCCCCCCCGGGCAAGAATCATACAGACGAGACTATCGAGTCGTTATGACAGTCAAAATTAATTTGGCACAAATCATTTATTGTCCCTAGGTTATTAGCTGCACGAAACTTTGCCTATGTCAGTCATGTATACCTGTCCGTGCAACTGCGACGCACTGATTTATTGCCGCAACAATATTGCAAGCCAAGCTCCACGAATCATTGTCTTGTGTTACACCACCTTTAATAGAGCACGAACTTAATCAATCAAAAGCAATAAATGGGTTGGATCATGGACGGTTTGCGTTGTAAATGCGCATTCTCTCGTGGATGACGGTGATGGTGCGATACCGTGATGGTGCGATACCGTGATGGTGCGATACCGTGATGGTGCGATACCGTGATGGTGCGATACCGTGACTGTGCGATGCGTGACGGGGCAATAACACACTGTCATTTTTCACAGATCTATTGAAAATACATAAGTTAACTTAAATTATAATTTATAAGCCTTGAAGATCACTCACTTATCGTTATTCATTTTTTTGGGTTAGATTCGCAGGATTTACGTTAATGGAATATCGGGATTCAACGTTCGGTTTAGGTATGTGAGGTATGTTATTAGAGGGTGTGTATAGCCCTAATGAGATTTTAAAATACATTTTTGCTTGATACGCGCGCAAGTAGCGGTTGTTATCAATGCGTGATGTACAGGCGTGATGTGATGTGTGTCATCCATGCGTGATGTACAGTCGTGATGTGTATTATCCATGCGTTATGTACAGGTGTGATGTGCGTTATCCATGCGTGATGTACAGTCGTGATGTGTGTTGTCCATGCGTGATGTACAGGTGCGATGTGCGTTATCCATGCGTGATGTACAGGTGTGATGTGTGTCATCCTTGCGTGATGTACAGCTGTGATGTGTGTTATCTTTGCGTGATGTGTGTTATCCTTGCGTGATGTACAGGCGTGATGTGTGTCATCCATGCGTAATGTACAGGCGTGATGTGTGTCATCCATGCGTGATGTACAGTCGTGATGTGTGTTATCCATGCGTGATGTACAGGTGTGATGTGTGTCATCCTTGCGTGATGTACAGGCGTGATGTGTGTCATCCATGCGTGATGTACAGGTGTGATGTGCGTTATCTTTGCGTGATGTACAGGCGTGATGTGTGTCATCCTTGCGTGATGTACAGGTGTGATGTGTGTTATCTTTGCGTGATGTGTGTTATCCTTGCGTGATGTATAGGAGTGATGTGTGTTATTTTTGCGTGATGTACAGGCGTGATGTGTGTTGTCCATGTGTGATATACAGCCATGTGTGTTGTCCATGTGTGATCAAGGGAGCACATTAAAATTTCGTTTGTGTAAGGAAAGTTATAGTTCTTGGTTGATCTATCTAGCGCGCGCAATCCATCATGTGGAAGGCGTTCCTCGTAGTGTTTTGGTTTCAGCCGATCCGAATGGCTTACGATCGTGTAAGGAAGGGAATGACGCTCCGCTCCTCGCAAGATAATCGTCGGTTTTCGAAGTAAATTCGCTAGCTCGGCTAAGCCAAGGAACGCCTGTCATAAAGTGTAGCGCGCGCACGTAAACAAGCACTACAAGGAACGCCTGCTATATCTTAGAATACGTGCGATAAAATCGAAGATAAACCAACACAATCAAAATTTTAACGTGCTCCCTTGACGTGATGCGTGTTATTCATGTGTGATGTACAGTCGTGATGTGTGTTATCCATGTGTGTTATATAGGCGTGATGCGTGTTATCCATGTGTGATGTACAGGTGTGATGTGTGATATCTTTGCGTGATGCGTGTTATCCATGCGTGATGTACAGGCGTGATGCGTGTTATCCATGTGTGATGTACAGGCGTGATGCGTGTCATCCATGTGTGTCGTATAGACGTGATGCGTGTTATCCATGTGTGTTGTATAGACGTGATGTGTGTTATCCATGCGTGATTTACACACGTGATATGTGTAACCCATGCGTGAGTTGCACGCGTGAGTAGCGTCATATTATGTTACTTTTCCTTTTTCTCTTAGGAAAGGCAGCGTAATAGCAGATGTTGTTATCAAGTACTATAACTATCTTTACCACGGTATCACAATGCTGTATGATGCCATCTACCACAATGGACGTCTTGGAATATATATAGTTAAGCCCATCAGCCTTGCAACTATAGACGGTGAGTAATCAGTAACCCGCTAGAGTTTTGAATGTGAAAAGACACGACACACGGTCAGAAATTGAAGGCCTAGTTTGAATCATTCACGGTAATCAAGAACACTGCTTAACCCATAAAAAATGCTTGGTCACAGTATTATTAAGGTCTGTACCATGAGTGTTTTAGAATCACGATGCTGTATTACACAAGACGTTTTGTATACAGCTTATTATTAAGCAGTTTCATTACTCGTGCTGTATCTCAGACCATGAGTCTTGCCGTGTATTAAGCTCTTATATTGCCACTAGCAAAGCGCGCATGTTATTATAGAATCCGTTTCTATGTTTGACCTTACGAATCTCCGTTTTAAACCAGTCAGAGCGCGCTTTGCGAGGTATTACACGCAGTGATTGGATGAATTACTTGACAACAATTGGCGGAAGGCATTTCAATGTAACGGCATGTCGTACCATGTACGTGCTCTAAGTCAGCACTGTGTGTTTCCCACTGATACGAAAACCGCTATGAATAATAGTACTAACGTAGGTCTTTGCATTTCAGTTCCTGTTCGAGGCCCTACCAACGTCCTTGGCTACAACACCAGTTCCACAAGTGTTCTTCTCAGTTGGGATGCAGTTGACAGTGAATACGCTAATGGCAACATAACTAATTACCGTATTACCTATAAACAGTTGAAAAAGCAATACAGAAAGCGCCGTGAGATTAAAACCTCGACGCTTAGAAGCATCACAGTACCTAATCAACTTAATTATGAAGTAACGGGCCTGGAGATGTTTACTAACTACGAGTTTCGAGTTGCTGGTAAAAACAAGAGAGGGGTTGGACTGGATAGTGAGCCCATCGTGGTGAATACGGATCAGGACAGTAAGTCTGTTATGTTAATAATCTGGATCAAATAGAAGTGTATGGAGAAAGCGCATTGATTTACTTTTAGCCGTAAATTAGTCGTCTGTCAAACGCGCATAAAGAAGGTACAGTCTTCAAACATTGGCTTTGTTAGTGGATTCAAGCCCTGTTGTATCTCGCATGCGTTCCAAACTACGGGGAAAATTCCAAATGTGGCTTTTTCGAAGTCGTCTAATACCGCTTTGTTCTTTGAATACAGATTCATTTGCACAGGATTAGCCTAGATTATGTGCAGAATATTCATGCATCCCAGTGAAGGTCCGTGGAATTTCAAAGTATCTGTATTGTTGAAGTTGTGCATTCTTTACTTTACCGTTGGTAGTTGTAAATATTTTGACGTTAAAATAAAGCTAACCATGCGTAAATGAATATACAGTCGAGGAGCAAAGCGGTATTTTATGAATTCGGAAAAGATTTATTTGGAGAGCAAAATTCTGGAGACTCCGGGTCCGCTTCCCTTACTTGGAAATACACCTCTTTGGGAAGCATTCCTTGATTCTTTAGATATGATGGATTTCAGGCTCCAGGAATTGCATGCCCAGGTCATATTTGGATTGTGAAAACGAACTACATAAAACCCAAACGAGCGTGGTTCCTGTCTGGATGGTCATCTTTAAATCATACTATAGACCATATAAAAGGGCGTGTCCCTTGAGTTATTAACGACAACAATGCTTACATTAGAAAGAGTATATCGAAATGAGTGATCTTCCAAAATTTCAGTGTACAAGTAACATTAACTGATTAAAAACTACAGCTGTTTGAAATTAAAAAGGTTTGTATGGAAACAACAACCAAGGGCCTACCAGCCCCGCTATCATGTTTTCGGTACATTTCAAATGCTTTTAACTCTGCAGGGATTATATATATGACAACAGAACTTTCCAAAATTACTAATTTAGACATGGTCTTTCTTGTAACAAAAATATATATTTGAAATCATTAATTGTTTTACACTCGTTTTCCATATGGTCTATAAACAGTTTTTTCCTCATTCCTTTTATTTCTTTTTCTTTTACCAGTCATTTTTTTGTAGTTCCAGATCAGTCTGCCACTCGTTTCTTTAAAAGTTGATTGACAAGCATTTATCGTAGTGATCTTAACTCTACTGTTGTTTAACAGGACCGCTACAACCTCCACCATTTATTTCTGCTTCCAACGAGAGTTCAACAAGCCTACGTGTGTCCTGGTCTTCCATTTCTAAGGAACACATCCCGGGGTTTGTCGAAGGATACCGCGTGTACTACAAGCCTTTCAATCAAAACCCTGTAATCACCATGTCTATTACAGTTGCGCCTGACACCAGACAAGTACTTTTAACCAAGCTTGACAAATACACTAAGTATCAGATTGATGTATGTGGATATACGATTAAAGGAGAAGGGCCTAAAGCTACTGCATACGTTATGACCGATGAGGATGGTATGGATTATATTCTTTTTAGAGTTGGTTTTCGCAAAAATATTTTGGAATTTTGTGACATTTGTCAATACAAAATGTTGCGTAAAAACATCGTAATGTTGTGTGACCAACGTTTAAAATGATAGATTGCTAGCGTGCAATCTGATGCAGAATAGCGCAGCTTAGTGTTATCCATTCTCCATACCCAATAGATACCCAGTAAGGTTTTATGCGCAACCGAACGCTGAGGTTAGATGAGGTTAGCTGACATACCCAGTATACAGTCTTGTGTCCCGTAAGAATTGATAATCATAACCTATGTAGATTTAATCAGAATACAACCTTGCGTAGAATAGCGCAGCTTAGTGTGCGACATTTATTATATCCTGTGTGACCAAAATGCTATCTTGCGCCCAATGTAGTATAACTCATTTCTCATCTCCTATATAGCTATATACCAAGATATCTTATCTCGTATTCATTGGTTTTTGTTCTTCTAGCACCAAGCAAACCACCAGAGAAGGTACGAGCGCACAACACATCCTCAACAAGCATATACGTCCAATGGGAGCCCATACCCAAGGGATACATACACGGGATTCTACGAGGATACGTGGTCATTTATGAGACTTCTGGGCTTGGAGACTGGTTAAATATTACCATAAATGGCGATATTAGGACCTGCATAATCAACAACTTACGAAAATTTACAAAATATACAATACAAGTTCTGGGATTCACCTCCAAAGGCGAAGGGAAACTAAGTAAAGCGGTGGTGCTAAAAACAGACCAAGACGGTAAGTACTCGATTATACCTAGCAGGTATCTCAGTGGAAAAGTTAACTAACAAAATTGTACAAATTAGTGCAAAGTTCCGTAGGTCTACGCCTATAGGTCTTATTAATTTGTGAAAATTTGTGCAATTTTTTACAAAGTTTTTTCACGGATATATGATATCTTCCACTTGACAGTGTGAGATATTCTTGCTGCAACAATATAACAATTATTATTTTTCCAAAACTATTTCCCGTTAGTTTTTATCACAAGATGTTTGATGATTATCCTTTAGTGCCTGAACAATCCCCAGTCAATGTAACCGGCTTCAACAAAAGTTCCACAGAACTCTACATCGAATGGCAGCCATTAGAGAAAATATATTGGAACGGCATAGAGCTGGGCTACAAGATCTTCTACGTTCCTCTTATATCGAACAGTGAACCCGAGAAGACAACAACAGTCGATGCAAATTCCAATTTTACAACACTTGATCAACTGGACAAGTTTACTTGGTACAAGGTTAGAGTCGCTGCCTTTACTAGCAAGGGCCTTGGACCAAGATCCCTTGAAATCACTTTACAGACATCAGAAGATGGTAAGTTATGCATAGCTAGGGGTGGCGGGGTTTGTGACACTGTTATTTTGACCCATCGTATCAGACCTCTTGACGATGAGTGTAATGCTTTCCTTCAGACCACGTCTCATTACCTAGAGTATCATTCCTTTGTTTAACGATTGCACATGAAAAAAATATATAAATGGATATAACTCCAATAATGTTTTTCTCAAGAGAATGACCCATGGTCTGAAATGGGAGAACATTACGCCCAAGGGTGAAGAGGTCTATTCTGAATGTGGGGTGTCAAAACAAAGGAGTCTATTCCTGAGATTGGAAAACTTTGTGAAAGTAATTTTTTTTCATTTCAGATTATGACCCCCTGCTAGAGATATAATGTATGGGGTCATTGCGCTCTTTGTAATTTCAAGCTCTGATTTGCATATCACAGTCATGGGAGCTTCTGTCGCCACGCTGATTGCTGAAGAAATGGTGCATGCGACTTTTGGCTTCAAGGATTATAATAACATTAGGAGTGTCGTTAATATTTTTCAGTGCCAAGCAAGGCCGTAATAGTTCTCAAGGCACGACACACCAGCCATAACAGCCTGTTGGTAGAATGGAAATCAATCCCCAAAGATTATGTTCACGGGATTCTACGAGGTTTTCGAATATATTTCTGGGAAGTGAACAGAACACCCAAGAAAGTCCAGACAAAAGGAGTTCCACCAGAAGCAAGAAGTGCTGAGTTGACAGATCTGTTGATATATACCGAGTATGCTATGGAGATTATTGGGTTCACTTCTGCTGGAAATGGGGCTGTCAGTAGGCCTGTGTATGCTAGAACAGACCAATACAGTAAGAACGAATTTCTATTAGGGTAAAACCATGGGAAATGCAATGAACCTGAAAATGGCTTCCAAGCTATTGAATTGGACATTCATTTTAGCTTTTGTTAAGATATTTTTTTAGTATAAGTACTCATGCAGTTGTAGATTATAATTCGTTACTGATGACGATCACTCGTTAGTGATTGAAATATTTAGTAAAAATGACAATCAAATTATGTTAGCTTCTTGTTACTACTTTTAAATTATATGGATGGTGTTTTATCATTATTTTTGTTATTCATGTTTTTGAGTTTGAGCCATTTGAGAGGAACAGTGCGTCTTATATTACTGAACTGGAGACGGAGTGAGGACTGGGGTGAGGTGGTTGAAAGGGGTGAGGGGAAGAGTGAAGTGGGGGATGGCAATGTGAGGATTGGGTGGAGTGAGGTGAGGGGGTTGAAAGGGGTGAGAGGAAGGGTGAAGTGGGGGGAGGGCAATGGTGAGGATTGGGTGGAGTGAGGTGAGGGGGTTGAAAGGGGTGAGAGGAAGGGTGAAGTGGGGGGAGGGCAATGGTGAGGACTCGGTGGAGTGAGGTGAGGGGAAAGGTGAATGGGTAAGAGAATTGTGGTTCTTTGATACACATAGTTAAACGTCTATCATAAATTCAAGGTGAATCAAAAATGGACCACGTTCTACACCCGAAATAATGTTTTTTGTAGCTGACATAATAGAGTAGCTTACATTGCAAATAACATGATCTTAAACTAGCTATGCAAACATTGAATACTACTGATCTGAATAAATTGTAATTTCTTTCTTATACTAACATTATTGACCGCATTTTATAGCACCTGGAGCAGCACCAGTTAACCTACGAGCTCCGAACAGAACAAGCCCCACCATCATCAAGGTCAATTGGGATCCAATACGTAACCCATACGATGTCCATGGCATTCTTCTCGGATACCGGGTATTTTACACTGCAGTGGCTTTATCAAAAAAACCGTTCGATCAAGCAATACCTTATCTGAGCGTCACTTTGGAGAACCCGCCACGAACGTCCGTGGAGTTGCGCAACTTGAGCGCGTTCACCAGATATCATATATATGTACTGGCGTTCACTATCAAAGGTGATGGAGTCAAAAGTCCAATCATTGTCGCAGGTAAATGACAAGAAAAATGATGCTAATCTTCACATGCAGTATCTCAGCGATAAAGCGTTGATCTCAACTCGTGAAACGCAATTGGCTTTAATATAGTTTGTTAATATACTAAAATATTTCACGGCATTTCTAACAAAAGGAAACGACACCCTAAGTCAAAACTTTTCTGCGCGCTACAGTTCTTAGTGCGCGTGCATCAAAGTTTATCAATACCTGAAACAATCTCTAGATTGAGCAAAATCAATGTAGGGCTATGACTCGCGATTCCGAATAGATTATAACTTGTTAGGTTTTGCGGAGAGAGGAAAACTAATGAACCCGGAGAAAAACCCTCGAGGACTGAGATCCCTAACAAATTCTGTTCACAAAGCGAGTGCGCTACCGCTACCGACGCTACCCTTGAATCCCAATGGCGATATTTTAGGTATTCCTTATGGTCGAAAGTTTATATCTTATTGCAGAAACGTGCAACTGTCACAGAACACTTCACACGAACTGGTGGGCAAGCTCTCCGTACGTCGAAACCCCAGGCTCACTAAATAACTCTGGAATCATCCCTCCAGTCCTAGAAGACGCAGTAAGAACATGCTGTGAAACATGTGCCGAGTTTAAAACAACAGTCGTCGACTACACCTTGTCAATCTCCCAGAAGCGCGCAAGAAAACAAGGCTTACAGGAATTTCGAGAGAACATTGAAGATGCGGAGTTCAGCTTTCCTGTTTATGGATTCATGGATCAAAAAGTGTATTCAGGATCGTTTGGTTTTGTGCCGTTAGTTAGTTCACCAGGGATTGCCTTGATTGTTATCGGAGACGAAGAGGGCGCTGCTGCTCGGATGTTGATCAAGTCCATCATGCTTTGCTGGCCAATTATCTTTCTTGATATCATGCTGCTTTGGGTTCTCAGTATCGTTATTTGGTTTGTGGTGAGTATAGATACTAAGTATATTAATTCACCATTTTCCATACATTGGTTCACTGGTCAAACACAAAGCACTCAAGCAAGGTGCCGAGGTATTTTCAAAGGATTATTCAAATTTGAACCTTGCAACCTCGACTGAATGCTTTGTGTTTGACCAGTGAACCGATGTATGGAAAATAATGAATGTGCTTTTGCTTTTTGGTAGTGTCCTATGCAGCCGCTATTAGTGTCGTCACGCAACGCTCACTCTCCTAAGTTAGCGTTGCGTGACGACACTAATAGCGGCTGAGTAGGAGACTAGCGTTTTGGATAGTTAGTAGGGATGAAGTGGGAGCTGGGATTCGCCTTTTTTGGGCTGAAAAAAATGGAATTTTACTCACTGCAAATGGGATTCACACACACACACACAAAATATAGGAAAGGGATTGAGATTTGAGCAAAAAATAGGCTGGGACTATGGGATTTGGTCAAAAGGAGGGCTGGGAATGGAATTAGGACCCCCCCCCCCTTTTTGCAGAGTCTAAGCCGAACAACAAGGGACAACTCTACTCCTTTAAGGCTCGAAAACGTCGAGCGCCCTCTCCCACACTGTATACCCTTGCAAACCTTTCTATTATCTATTTTTTTCCAGGAAACATTCAGCAACTCGCGTCATTTTCCTCATAACATGCTGCAAGGTACATGGGAAGGGATGTGGTGGGCCTTTGCATCCATGACAACACTCGGGTAATTATCAAACAGATTAATTAAACGTACAATATCATTGGAGTAAAGTGGGAAATTACTCAAGTATTTATGAATCGATTGTCTCATCCTCAGAATTGTTTCGAAAAAAGGAGAACGTACTACCCACTCTCTTGGTTCCTTGCGCATGCGCGAAGGGATATGCAGCGAGGACATGGACATTAATCTTTGAAATAACCCTGATTTTAACTAGTGACGAGTCAAGTAAATTACCGGCGACAACATTTTGTTGTGCGGCCGTGCAATTATTTGTCATGAGAATTTTTCTCTTGTCAATGTAATTTATAGTTACTAGTAGCTATACTTGCTTCTATTGGCACGAAAACATTAATCCATATGAATAAATCTAGTTGTCTAGTCTAGTTGGACACCTATCTAAAGACCATTTTCGAGTCCCAAATTACTGCTGTGTTCCTTGTGTAGACTCATTTACACAGGGTTAACCTTGAATCAGTGTCTAAATATTCACAAATACCAACGGTAAAGTAAAGAATGCACAACTTCTCACAAAACAAATATTTTGAAATTCCATGGACCTCCACTGGAACCTCCACATGAATATTCTGCACAAAATCGAGGCTAACCCTGAGCAACAAAGAACTCGAAACTGGAGTATTGCAAGGTGTATCATATTCACATCATTGTTTTAGATGTTAGTAGGCATCTAGTAGATCACATTTTGTGCGTATCTATTTTAGTTATGGCGATCGTATACCTCGTACTTCAGTTGGTCGTATCATCTGTATCGTGTGGATCTTGATTGGTGTCATCCTAATAGCTTGTTTTAATTCAACCATGACATCAATACTGACAGCTCGTATACTGGATAGGGATATCATGCTATATGGAACAAAGGTACGAGTGAAGGGAGGACTGGGTAACAGGATAACGAAGCTGGGCCGGTCGTGAATTTTTTGGGGTGCGGGATGACGGCCCGTTGGGTGTCTGAACGCGTTGAGGTCGTCACCAGATTTCCTGGGAATCACAGAAAAGCGAATACACCGATCCCGCATTCATTTTTAGTATCTCCCTAGTTACTGTTGCTACGTAGAACAAACTAAATAGTGTTTTTGAATACAGCAAAGAACAGACACCGATTGCTGAAAATTGTAAATGTCTGTCTTAGAATCAATGCATTCTAAAGGTACACGAAGAAAATAATCGATAACTAAAAGATCTTATGAATTCGAGTTTGTTGGTCGGAAATTCTGAACTACCCATTGTTTGGGTGAGCACTCAAGCATAGCCGGAAACAGTCTATTGCGACGGAAAGGCTATTTCCCAGCAAAGTGGATGAAGGATTGGATATCCAAATGACTAGCTCTTGTTATATTAATGGGATTCTTACAGCTTGCGCGAATGGAAGGAATTTCTTTCCCGCCAAAACCCTAACCATCTCACATGACGTCATAACTAACCTAACATCTCTTCATCTCGAGATCATACCGAGCTTCTCCAACGAGACTTTATGACAAACCACAGAATGTAAGACGCATAATGTAAACATAGTCCTTCCTTTCTTTATAGATTGCTGCAATCCAGAACTCATCAGAATACCGACTGGGAGTAAGAAAGAATGCTCGTGTCAACCCCAGTGGTAAGGCAATCGCTAATATACTTCAGTTATATTGACAAGGGATCTTTAGAGGGGTGTGGAAATCGAGTCAAATTGTTTTTGGGTGCCCGTGATTTCCTTTCCTGTACAGAAATGGCCCGAAAAATGCGGTCAATAGCATATAAAGAAAGTAAATTTGTCCCCGTCAAGTCCTTTGCTACAAAAACAGCATTTGTTATCTAGGTGTACCAAACAACTGCAGATTCCACACAGATCCTCCACAGGATTGCATAATTAATTTATTCAAAATGCTTGAGTGTCGTTAATTCGAATCATGTTTTTGAAATGTTTTTCAGGCCGGAAATACTCGAACTTAGATGAAATCTTTAACGCTTTGGTTAATCGAGACGTCAAAGGAATCCTTGTCGATGCTTACACTGTTGGAAGCAAAAAAGAGTTGTTCCAACGGAAAGATCTTCGCATCAGTAAAATATTTGATTTTTCATCAGCTTATGGTGTTGTTCTTGGAGGCGAGAGTAAAAAGCTGCAAACTTGCTTTAACAGCTACTTAAGTGAACAAAGATCGTATATCTCTGAAATAATAGAACGAAATACCAAGACAATAGAGGTAAGCGCAGATTCGACGCGCGAAATAGAGAACGTAATTTCTTAATTTTCCGCAAGATCAAGACCACTTCAATGGCACATTCTCTCGATCGTGTTTTCGCTTCTCTCCATCAGCAGCGTGAGGCAAAACTCTAGTTGCTGTCGAGGTCGTAGACTTGCTCCAAGGCGACCTTTCCGAGACGCACAGATCGAGCAGTTTGTCTAGCACGTAGCTCCAGCGCGTGTAATCCTGGTTGTGCAGCGCGCGTAAACTAATACGGAGACAAAGGGCTTTGTGAAAGTCTATCGAGGTCGCAGATCTAGAAATCCAATAAAACGTACTAAAGTAAAAAATGGTATAATAGGTGGCAGGCGTTGCTACCACGCTGTCTCTCACTGCTGTGTATAGTTCGTGCCTGGGGTTGCGGGCTTAATTCACGACTGAACCTCGTATTTTGAGTTTGTTTGATGTGTTGCCCGTTTTCTTCCATTCGCAAACATTTACATGTGAGTTGATTGCTGTGTTTTTTAAGTAGTGAATGGTTCTAAAATGCGTTTTAAAACAATTCAATAACTACTAAATCCCCTTGATATCGTTATTATTACAGGTCCAGCCCAAAGCTGTCAGCGTCGAGCGCTCACAAGGACTCTTCGACGCGAGTTTTCCAACTTACACAAAGACAGTCATCATTTGTTCGACGGTACTTGCATTGTTATTAGTTTTGGGAGCAAAGTTTGAATGCGCAAAGAAGATAGGATGGATTACTTTCAAATCACAAGGTACTGTGCAACGTTTTGAATTAAAGTCCTCAGCTTAGGAAACCGTTACAAGAATATGGTATTATCAAGAGAAAATAAACTAGTAGTTCGTATTCTCTTGGTATTATCGTTTGCGCAAAACTAGATGCGCCTCCTAGCCAAAAAGCAATCGAGTTAACAGACTTTTTTAGCTTGGATGTAGCCGGTTTTTCTATGTAACTTGTTTTCCTTTCACAAAAAACAGTTGTTGTTTACATCACACGCTCTATAAAACCGCGTCTCTACTCTCTGATTAAAAAAGAAATAACACTCAAGAGAATGACATGTGTTCAGTAATTTGTGAATACTCAATCTATGAAAAAAGAAACAGGATTCAACTGTTCAAATAGCTTTCAAAGCAACATAAACATCAGAATAAGGCTTCAGAAAGTCTAAACTCGAGCATCAGTAAAGCGCGCAACTTGATTTTCTTTAGTTGCGCTTAATTTTTGGCACGACTTCTCGGCCAGAAGCAATGAATATTACCATTGCTGATCTGTTTGTTTTGGTATGATTAATTTGCAGAAAAATCCAAAAAATACAAACCTCCAACACTGGAGGAACTTAAAAACCGCAGCAAGGAAATGCGTAGAGAAATGTCACTAGTAGTGGAAACCTTCGTCATCAATTGCAAAAGACGAGTCGCGAGTCTAAAGATGAAACACCTGAAAGAGTTACAACAGTTAGCAAAGTTGAAGAAAGAAAATGAAAGCGGTCCTTTAGAGAAAGGTTCCTTTACCAAGCACAACCTGTGGAATATTGCTTGTAACAAAAAAGGGAACGGCTTTACTTCTACATTAATTAAAAAAGCCGAGCAAAGTAATGGTCATTCTAATGGGTTTCCTTTCCCAAAAAGATTCAAGAAGAGTAAGGAGGTAGAAACAGTAGTATGATACTTTGATTAATGTTGATATGATAATAATTCAATAGTAATGTATATATAATTTGTAACATAGCTATATAAATGCACTAGAGTTATATGAATGAAATCCATGAATGAGCTATAGGTTTTCAATGAGCCTAAGAAAAAATATGCAACATGCTTTGTAGTTTTATAACACACTCTACAAAATTACTCGATTCTGATTGGACAAGAGGAGAACAATTAAATCCCAAATTGTGTTCTGTAGAAATCGCACGATGTTTTGAAAGTTCTCAAATTGTACTCGATGGCTCGTCCAATTTTGAAAACTTTCAAAACATCACTTGTACCTATAAATTCCGAATTGTACTCGAGTTCCTACACTTATTTTAGGACCATATGTACAGATTAGGACTTGTTAACAGGTTTATTGAAAACCTAAATAATATGATCACTTTTGTTTGCACGTTTATTTAATATAACATTTCGTTGCATGGTTTAGCATGTCATTAGTCATGTTTGATGACTTCCATTCATGGTGTTGAAACATCAGTCACCACCATGTCTTTCTGAAGACCACACAATTCACCCAGACAAATATCACACTTAAGCAACAATTCTGATCTCAAAACAATTCACTTTATTCATGTCATGACAGTCTCCCTCAAAGCTGCCATCAGTGTCGTCATGTAATGCTTTCTCCCCTGGGTAGCAGTACTCAGGGAAGAAAGTGTCATGTGACGACAATAATAGTCAATTAAAGGGAGACTATGTCATGAATGATTGCATTGGGCGATAAATTATAATGCACTTTGCAATTGTTCAGTGACAAACAGATGAACACATGCATTCATCAATTGAACGTACGAAGGCACTAAACAAACAGATAAGTGATAGATAGTTGATGACGAGAAAATGGTAGAAATGGTAATTTTTTAGTAAGGAATAAATGTAAATAATATTTGAAAGTATTTTTCATCTTTATTAGCACTTTTTAATGAAATCTTTTCCCTAGTCAAAAGATGGTAATATTTGTAGGTCGGGAGCATGCCGTTCTCATTACTTGCCAGCAAAAACAATAAGTACACAACGTTTTTAGTTTGGGCCGTAATGTCGTATCCATATTCATGTTTGTTCAGTCATAATCAAATGAAAGAATGACACTCTAGGGAATGATATGATGGGAAATGAGAAAACATTACATCCAAATTATTTATACTTAGAGGTACATTGTGATTGTAGTACATGGTCAAGTGATCCTAATAGACAATTTCCTTGATGCATGAGCACTTTCATAAATATTGCAGGCACAGATATGAAAACAAGCCATTTTCAGGCAGTTCATAAGAAACCTTTGGAAACCATATATTTATAGTTATAATTTAGATTTCTAAAACCTTGTCTGAAGTGAGATTTTCCCACAAAAGTTATAATCCTGGTAACGAACTAATAGTAACGTCAAAGTATTCCTTCATTAACATAATTTCAAAGTTTTTGTATGATTGTGTTTTCTATAGTGTGTGTAAGATCTTGCCCGAAAATGCCTTGTTTTAAAATCTGAGCATACAATACTAATTTAAAAGTAGCGCTCATGCATCTCGGAAATACGCTATTTTAGCCATTCCAAAATTGGACACTCATATTGAATTTACAAGATAAAATTAATATATATTATAGAAAAGAAAACAAGTTCATTTACTGTGCAGACACTCCAACAGTAGCCTCCTTTAATAATAATAATAATAAAACTTTATTTAAAGAGGGGACACACAACAGTTACAATAAAACACATCGTACTGAAAACCCAGTGGCCCTCTGAAAGCAGCCGTTCTTAGGGTCGTCATGCAACGTTGCGTGACGATCCTACTAAGAACTGCTGCAAAGGAGGCTACTCCAACAGCAGCCTAATAAGACTGGATCTTGAACCTAATTGTGCCTTAAGTATAGACCGTTTTCTCAAGGTTGCATGTGCATCCAACTTGACAGGCCACAAAACTGTAATAAGGAATAATCAGCAAAATCGAGAAGCCAGTTTTATATCTAAAGAGAAGAATAATTGATCTGATAAATTCTTATTGAAAATTCTAATAGAAATGTATGATGATTCTCATTATAAAGCTCCTGTTCTGGTATTGTGGCCCGTCAAGTTCCTTAAATTTGGATGCGCACACAACCTTGAGAAAGCAGTCTATTAAAATATATAATATATATAATTTTAGCCATAGATAGTTTTAGCTATTTAGCTATTATGAAAATAGACCTTTCTTAGAGTGAAGTCATTTAACCCGTGAAATAGATATTAGACTAACACACGTTAGTAGACCTTAACTCCATTGTTATATTTCATGTCTGTGTAACTATTACACATTGACTAGTATTTTTTTGTTTCATGGGTTAAATGCCTTCACTCTTGACTAGTATTTTTTTGTTTCATGGGTTAAATGCCTTCACTCTTGACTAGTATTTTTTGTTTCACGGGTTAAATGCCTTCACTCTAATTTGGTGGAGTACCACCACTGAGATTGGTCCCAAGCTGAGGTTAAACTTGATCAAAAACAGTGAGCTTGATCAAATACTTAATGCACATCAAGTCCAGCCTTGACTTGGAGCTATTGTATGGTGGTCATTCAAGCAAATGTGGGCTTTTTAAGATCTATTGTGCATGAGTTATAATTATTAATTATATTTAATGAATACAATTTGTTTATTTTTATTATTTATATTATTTAATTTATCGAAAATTGCAAAAACATTTGTATGAAGTTGTAGTTTACAATTTAACATTATTAATAATATAATATTATCAATGAAAAGCAAATTACCAAATTACCCAAACTACAACAAAAGTTTAGGCTTTAAAGGAAGAATTTTTCATTTCATAAAGAACTTGATTGATAGGTTAAAGTTAAACCTTCAGCATTATTTCAACCAACAGACCTTTTTTGCTTGGACATAATACTTTCTCATTTTGGACCACATGAAATTTCCCAGAGAATAAAAATTCTTTGTTTGAGTTGTATCCATGTTCATGTGTCTTTAACATTCACTGTTCTCATAATGGTTGACAAGCGCACAGAAATTAGGCCACCCAGTTATCTTGCAAGAGTGAGCAAGGCTTCTCATTCAAATCAAAGGGGGATAGCATGAATTCAGGTCAAAACAAAACCTTACTTTTTATACTTTTTTTCCATGAATGTATTTCATGTGCTTTTATATCTTTATTGTGAGCTAATGACTGGGTGACCTTGTTTTCATGCACTTGTCAGCTATTATGAGTGGTGTATACAAGCAGTAGGACAGAAGCAATATGCCACATACATCTTAGATAAATGCTATTTGTCTTGCATGACTTCAACTTATTAGGGCCACTTTATATATAGACCCCTGTCTAGCCTCAATTTGGAGGGCAAAACAATGGTTTCCAATTCTCAGGAGATTATAATTCTTTTGCTTTGTCCTCCAAATTGAGCTCCTTTGACGTCACATGCAATTAAGAGGTCTATTTAGCTTTTTTAAGCCTTTCACAGTCAGAGTCTAAGAAAGATTCCAGCAGATGCCACTCAGTTGCCATAGATACATTACACCTTGAAACATAATATCTATTATGTTACGATGTTATGATGATAGTCACTACATGATCCTAGCTGAAGTCATTTGTAAAAATACAGATCCAACCAATATACTAACTTATAAAATAAAATTTTCATGTTTTTGGCAAAGAAAACCAGATATCAATTAGTACCTTTCAATGCACATGCTATTTGCTTTTTAAAAACGTTGTATAGTTTGCAACATCTAGCTGATTTAAAATATATAGCTGCATGAATATCGACATTCCAAAGAAAGAAAGGGTTGAAGGAGTAATTTGGGATTTTGGAGTAAGGAACTGAAGCACAGGGATTACAATTAATTTTTACTAAATGTCAACAGTATCGAGCCACTAATTTATTTACTGCTAGAAATGCTGTATATTCTCACTTTTTAAAAGGACTTTAACATATAGAAAGTTTAATGTATTTATTAGTAATTATTTAGTAATGATAATCATAATTAGATTGTGGGATTTTTATACATCTTTGGGAAATTATGTTGTTTGTTTCTTGCTATCAGAAAAATGAGTGAGAAATGAGCATCAGAACCATACCCCAGTGGGTTCCCGAGGATGGATTTTTATAGTACTGGTAAACATATCATGTCTTATAATTATATGTATCAGTTACTTTATGAGCAGAGCACACACAGTTATGAAAAAAGAAACAATTAGTTATATCAAATGGAATACTTGAGTACTACCAACGCTTAGAGATGGAGACAGTAGACCATGTAATCCCATGGTATTTTACAAAATAAATAGAAATTCTGATAACAATACCAATAGCGAAAGTGTTGCTTGATTTATTTTGCTGAGAACTTTCAATTTGAAAACCTCTGCACCTCATATATGCTCCATATGGTATATGCTCCTAATGCATGATAGCATCTCACCAAATTTAAGTTAATGCTCTGGGCTGGCTGTTCAAGCCCTGCCTGTGCATGCCAAACACATTGAGTAAAGTTTGTTTGATGTGTTGTTCTCTCAGTGCAATGAGGGGTGTTCACCAGGTACTTTAGTTTGAGTTGAGAGTTGTACACATATAATTTTTAATTTAGTAGTAGTGAGTGTTTTTCGAACCTTGGGAGAGGGGTGTCCAGATATCCATGTACAAATAACTGTTCTGTTATATTAATTACTTTTAAAGATATGAATATTTTCACAATTCAAACTTCCAACATAAAGGTCCATGCATTAGCTTATGAGCAGGGAAGGGGAGGGTCTGCAAATAAATAGGGGGAAGTTACGATAAAATATTACCTAAAGGAATCTTCATCATTCACTTTGTTATGTAACATTTTCTTGCGCATAAAGTCCTTACTTAACTTCTCTTCTTCGTTCTTCCATGACTGGTACTGTTCGGGAGTCAACACCTCCGACGCATGATCCTTGGACCAACTCTCAAACATGTCTTTGCCAAGTTCTTCATACAACTTTTGTTGTTGTGTACGACTTTTAGACACCTCAGCATTCATTCTGACATATACATAATATGGTATAATACACATATATACATAATTTAGTATAATATAGTTATGAAAACTGGACGTAACAACAGAAACTGCAATAAGTCGTTGGAAATTAATTCTTACCTTTCACTTTCTGAGATTGCACGTTGGAAGAACTGGTTCATTCTTTCTTGCTCTATGCTGTTATCTGAAACATGACCCTGGACAACCAACAATAACAGCGACAAGAATAATTACAATAACTTCATATATAAACATCACAAGCTTCTTGGATGCGTTAATTCATAAATGTGTTCTAATGTACGAGTTAAGCATGAGAAAAAATATTTCTATCTTCACAAACTACGAGAAGTCCATAAGTCTTATATTATAATTACATTTGATTGAAGTTGCTGTAGGCATTCCTTAGTTACGAACTCTCTCAGACTGTCATGTTCTACAGATGACTGTTTTTCGTTGTCTGAACTGTCACCAATATTTCCTTCTTCCTTTTCTTTCTCCATTTATCGTGATCAAAAGTTTTTTTAAAGCATAAAATCAGAGGTTCATTTTATCAGGATTTTTGAAAAGTTTCTGTTTTTCTCCCATAACAACATCCGCTGAGTCATTGCGAGCCCACAGTCTCGGAGAACACAGGCTTCCCAAGGCTTCTAAAAAATGAAAAAGTATTTAACTGATTGCAAAATATTTTTAGCATTTCGGTGCATTTGTAAGACATTTTATTGTTATGTTTTTGTATGTATGTGTGTGTGGTTTAAGGGAGGAGGAGGGGGAGGAGGGAGGGGGGAGTTGGGGATGGGAAGAACGAAATTTACCCAAAATTTGGCAGAATGGGAAGCCTGTGGAAAAGGCACATGCAATATTCTCTCCAAAATTCTACTGTACTTTTTCAAAGCCGTAGAAAAAATAGTTTATTCAAACTTTCAGCGATAATGAGTTGGTCTGAAGTGGAAAAGGCCTCCCAGGAACAAAGATACGAGTTGGTATTGAATGGAAGTGCCATTTCTGAACGAATTTCTTCCAATGGATTAGACATAAGTATTTTTCAGCTTACTAAGCTAAATTTCCTTCAAATCTCAAATACCAACTTGGAAGAACTGCCTTCTGAAATTGGGAATTTAGTGAACCTTAAGACTCTAGATCTTCACAGAAATGCACTGAAAACCATCCCGGCTTCTATTGAGAATGTAAAAGAGATCAAAACTCTTGATATATCTGGCAACTCTTTGAATGAATTGCCAGTAGAATTTGGAGAACTTGATTCTTTACACACACTCAACTTGAACTGTAATCAGCTTTCTGTTATACCTTCTGTTGTAAAGTTGAAACACCTTGCAAGGCTAGATATTTCACACAATGAGCTGTGTGATTTGCCAGACGGGATATTCAAGCTGGAGTTAATTTCCGAGATACGTGCCTCAAGTAACAAAATTGGTGTTCTTAGTGAAGAGGTTTCTAACTTACAGATGCTCAAGGTGTTGGATATGTCAAGTAATGTTCTAGAAGCTGTTCCTGTCAGTTTAGCTAATTGCTTAAAGTTGAAGGAACTAAATCTTAAAGAGAATCGTATCAAGGATAATAGACTTGGAAAGCTAATAAACCAGTGTTCAACTAAATCAGTTTTGGACTATGTCGCAAGTATGAAAGAAGGGAAAGGGAAAGGGAAAAAAAGTGGAAAAAAGGGAAGAACCAAGAGAATGAGTGAAGGAGAGCAGGAATCATCAGCTGAGTCAGGGAATCAAGGCCCGGTTGTAAAAGTGATTCATGGAGACAGAGTCAAAGTCTTGGTTCAACCATCTGTACTTGGTGTCAGGCCATTCATTGTGTGTACCTTAGTGAGGAATTTAGATCTCAGTGATCCAGCTGTTTTCAAGAAATTCATCACTATACAGGTAATTGTTAAACAAGGGTTTAATTTTCAGGATTCATAAGGGAAGGTACATTTTTTATTGCAAAGAGGGGAGGGCAGGGGGATTTGCAGTAAAATTTTAAAATATGGTTTAAGCCATCCTCATTTTACTCAGTAAGACATTCATGACCCACCTATTAAGTCAACAAGGAAAAGCATTTGTTAAACTCCTCTAAAGTCCTGATCCCCTACCCCACCACCACCATGAAAAAAATGTACCTTAATGAAAAAAATTATTTATGGTTCAGCAGAGGGGTTGTCATGGCAGCCTTATTTTCCTAGTGTTCACCTCTAACAAATGTGACTCATGCTTAATTCTTGGTATTGATCAGTGAGTATTGTTGTCTACAGTATGTTGGTTTTCTCCTGTGCTTTCCTAAAAATTTTCTCAAGTTCTCTGGTTTTCCTGCCTCTGCAAAAATCAGTTTCTTTTTGGAAAAATCATTGGAAGAAGAGCTTCTCTTGAATTTCTATTATTATTATTATTTCTGGGATTAGGTTGACTGTCCCTTGAAGACTTAAAGTGCTTTTAAGCCTTTGCACAATATTTTCAGAATTGATTCTTGGTTGTGAAAATATTTCGTCATTTGAACGTCACGTCTTTAAGATACGAAGGTTTATATTCCCAATATGTTAATGATTATGACGTAACATAAGGGATCATAATTTTAATATACAACACTGCACTCGTTCTGGAATACAGTATTTTAAAAGCATCACCCTTTTACTCGTAACTCATGTAAAGGTTCTTACAAATTTGTTTTCAAAAAATGTCCAGCGTTCAATATTAAAAGTTGCCACGAAATAAGTCAAATCCCTTATGTTACGTCATAGTCATTAACATATTGGAAATATAAACCTTTGTATCTCAAAGACCCAACATTCAAATGACGAATTATTTTCACAATCGACTATTCACTATTTAAAGAATCAATTCTGAAAATATTGTGTAAAGGCTTATAAGCACTTTAAGAGTGACTGTCCACTAATATAGAGCCAAATCAAAAATTGTGGACACAGTGGACCATTGATTTTTTGAAATTTTTGTTCCAGAGTTAGGTATTAGTAAGTGGTGATGGGTTTTGTTTCTTTGGGAAAAAACTTTCACTGAGAAACCGGTCCGCCCGATCTCATTCCTAGGACAGAGTGAAATGAAAGCGATTTTTGGGGTCTGTTTAATCATATCCTGTAAAGGCGCAACACATTTTCCAGCATTTTTATATTGAAATATTCGTTTTTGAATTATTTTTGAACATCTTTGATGCAAATTTAAGCTCATAGGTTTATTTTCTATTTTTACAGAGATCTGTCACACTCGCTATAATTCCAGTCCTCAATAACTTCGTTCCAGCACACAAATCCAAAAAAATAATATTGTATAAGAAAAATTTCATGGAAGGATATCTTGTCATAATATATGACTCATATATTATCTTTCTCAGGCATGGATTTCGTTTCAACCAGTCACAGAGAGTTTAGTTATTTTGCTGCTGGCTATCATTCCCAGGCTACTGTAACCCAACTTTTGCAGATTTTTCTGTTTTCTTTTGACTAAAATATAATATACATACCTACAAGAATTAGAAATATGGAAAGGAAGAATAAAAACAATTTAACTTTATCACCATGTTTGGTTTGTTCTTTCAAGCTCCAGAAATGCACCTCTTCTTTGGAACTCTCTACCCACTTCGCTAAGAGACATTCATGATGTTTCTTCTTTCAAGTCTTCTTTGAAAACTTATTTATTTAAACTTGCTTTTTGCTTGTAATTTTTTATAATTTTAATTTTTTGTTAAAGCGCTTAGGACAGATCTGAATAAGCGCTATATAAGCCTTATTATTATTATTGTTATTATTATTATTATTATTGTTATTATTATTTTGTCTCCTCATGCTTTGCACACAGTGTTTGCCACTCAGCTGGAACTGGAGACTTGATAAAAACATGTCATCTTCATACCAGGACAATAATGCCATTAATAAATTTATTTCTGCAGACGAAGCTCCATGAATCCATCTGTGATCAAAGGACAGTTGCAACAATTGCCACTCATGATCTGTCAACTTTGACTCTCCCATTGATGTATGATGCTGCAGCACCAACAGAGATAAATCTCGTTCCACTCGGAAGACAAAAACAAATGAATGCTGAAGAGTTTGTTTCTGTACTGAAGACTGAGGCATTGAAACAAAAGCAGAAAACAAAAAGAAATACTTTGAAGTCTGGATTATACAAGTAAGGTCCAGCTGTACATTTAGAGGTCAATGTATTAAAGGAAGGAAAGGAAGGAAGGAAGGTATGGAATGAATGAATGGATGGAAGGAATGAATGTACAGAATGAATGAATGGATAGAAGGAAGGAATGAACGTACAGAATGATTGAATGGATGGAAGGGAAGGGGGGAGGAGGGGAAAAATGAGCAAGTTAATGAGTAGGTTAGGGAATTGTTGGGGTTTTAATTGAATGATTAAGTGACTAAATGCTTGACTGGATGCAGGGCTCAAAATAGTGGCCTGCCAATGGCCAAATGACAGAACAAATTTCAGGTTTGGCAGGCAAAAATAACGATGTGCTGCCAAATGAACAATAAAATGGCATGCAAAATTTACTGGAATGACCTCCATTTACCATGCTTGTTTATTATGGCAGGATAATAAAAATTCCTAATATTTTGAGCCCTGGGATGGAAGTAATAATCCTTAGACAAATGGGAACACTACCAGATTTGTTTTTCATTCAAATAACTGTGGTTAATTTGCTAGGTTTCTTAGCCTGGTAGAAGGAGCACCTCTTTATGCATTCCTAAGAGATTCAGCAGGTACAACTGTTTCACTACCACCAGTGACCAACAGTGAAGCTTGCAAGGTGAGACTCATAATCATGTAAATACACCAGAATGGCAGAACCTGGGGAAGGGTAGTCTCCTACTCAGCTGCTATTAGTCTCATCACGCAAAGCTTGTTGTATGACGACACTAATAGAGGCCGAGTAGGAGACTAGGGGAAGGGTTGAGCTGTTAGCCTATCAAGCGGCCATCCAAGTTAAGGCTTAGAGAGATTGCAAACCTTAACCTTCCCTAGTTGAGGATTGACACAAAATCTAGATACAAAATGCCAAAAGTGTTCTTCCGATAATCAAATAACACCTTGTTTAAAGTACTAATTGATCTATGTCGTGCTTTCTTGCTTTTGCTTAAGCAGCCATAATACTAAAAGTATTGTATTTGCAAAATTGCCAACTATGGCCACTATTAATAGTTTTAAACCATTACTTAAAGTGAAAAGATGTGTTTAAGGGGTTTGGTTAAGGAAATGGGGATCTAAGTTACCTGTGGGTAAGGAGACCTCGTAATTTTTAAAAACAAGTGTCCCCCTCCAAATAATTGTTTTAAAATACCTCTAAAACTTTATAATTCCCAAATTAAATTTCTAGATTAAGGCGAGTAAAATAGATGTCCTGATAGAAGTAACTTCACCTAAAGACCTTGGCATCTGTAAGCAAGTGATGGCTGCCATCATAGAACAAATGCTTGAGGCTGGTATAAAATCATCTGAAAATGACACAGCATCAGGTGAATCCATGCTGTTACTAGAGCAAGTAAGAGTGACAAATGCAGATGGGCAACTGAAGGTGGTCTACCCTTCCAATGTAGATCTTTTGACAGAATCATTCAAAGTTATTCATCTGACTGACATGATAGGAGCAAGTTAGGGCCAGGTTTTAAGTGAAGTAGATTAGGCATTCAAGCACCAAAGTGCACCATAGATTAAATTAAAGAGAACCCAGAAATGTCAAATTAGGTTAAAACTTTGTCTTTTGTTGCTTGGCAACATAGTATGTTTAGGACAATATTATATCCAACAGTAAAACTGTCAGAACTCAAGGAAGAAAGATGAGCTCAACAGATGCACATTTACAGTGTAGTTTTGGTTTCAAGAAGCTGTCTTCTTGCTCCACTATGACTGAGCCAATCTTTAAGGAAGGGAGGCTTTGGAACCCAGGGTAATGCATACGGTACTTTTCATATTTCTGTGATCCCATCAGCTTTCAGGTGTCTTGGTTTTGTCAATCACAAAATTAACTCAGACTGCTTGAAATTTGATGGATAACGAGAAAATTAGTTCATAGTTGTCTGGGACACAGAAACATCGTAAGCAATATTGTAAGTCATCTTATAATCTAAATACAGAGGGATTTGCTTTGTCTTTCCACCTGCACCTTTAGCATAAGAATCAGGGGGTAGAAGCATGATAGCCAGAAGAACAATGGCTTATAGTTGTTTATTTGTTATTATAAGCAAGAGGTTTTGATGAAACTGAACTTACAGCAGTAAATGAAGACTAGCTAAATGAAAAATACAAAACTAAATCTTAGGTAAAGAAATTAAAGTATTTGATTGATAAGCTCTGACAGCAATATTGGTTGATGCTCTTCATTCAATTAATATTCATATACATCTGTTCTTTAATACTTCTAATAAAATAAACAATCTATTAATATCACGCACTAGAGATATTCTCTCAAACATGCAAGTTGGTCCTTCTGATTACAGGAGTGAACACCTCTAAGAAGCCTGCTTCAAAAGAGTGGTAGCTGTTTGAAGAAAAACCCTAGTTATATACAAAGAAAGCTAACAAAAAAAATAAGGAGAGTTTTTGATAGGCTTTTCTTGTATGTTATTCATATGTAATTTGCTAAAAAATTACAGCTTGATTTTAGATTAATGGAACTCTAAAACAGGACTCCTAGAGGCATTTTCTCCTGCATTTTCTTTAAAGTAAGCTTGCTAGGATAGAATCTTTATCTAATTTTGGTCAAGGGAGGTATTTACAAGCAATATTGGTAAAACAAGAGGATGGTAGAAATTAATATCATTAAAATCCGTGAACTTTTAGTTGGTCCGGTTTGACCAGTTCGATCTGGAGAAGAAAATCTTTGGCATTTGTACGCTGATCTCCCTGCAGTTGGATTACCTCTCCATATTCTGCATGATCCACGACTGTGCCGTTGCAAGCGAATTTCTAAAACAAGGGAAAGAAAAAATAGTTTATGGTATGAAATTTGGTAGAAGAAGACCAGAATGCTTCAACCCTATAAAATTGGCATGTAACAATGTCAATGTTCAGTCAAACCCCCCCCCCCCTTATAAATCAGTATAAGCAGCTTAGATCTAGGTTCATTGTTGCTATATTATTTCCTATAATTCATAGTCATTGGATTAATAATCTAAAATGTTTAGAATTCCCTGACAGCCACCCACATACCCCACCCCCTCCCCCTCCAAGCTTATTCTATTGCATCACGATGAGAAATTGAAATGTCGTTTCTTCAACATTTCTTCATAATCTAGTGTTGTTTTTTAAAAAAGATTTCAACTTGATATATACCTCACATATTCTTTAAGTCAATCTCAATGGGTACCCATTAATTCTACTTAGATATTTACCTTTTTAAAAGCTTTCACAAGCCTTTTCTTGTCATAAACATCAGCAATGCCTTGAATTGTAGTCAAAACCTTTCGGCCGTTGCGTTGTTGAATTCTTACGTGTACATCTTCAACTTGAGAAGCATGATCATCTCCCTTTGACGCGTCGTCGAAAGGATCTACCAAAAGGAAAATTCAATTATATTACCGATCGCTGTGCACAGGATATAATCTTACAATATGAGTGACACATAGCATCCGAGATGTTTCATTCAAAAATATACCAAAATATAAACTTACTTTGAGTTTTCAAATTCTCGATACTGGACATGCGAATTCTTTAAGTTCTCTTTTCTATGTTGGTATAACCTGACAAAAGATTGATTCTTTTAACTACAAGATTGACTTGGATTTCTTCTTATCCTTTTCACAACTTCGATCAAACTGAGAATCGATGTTACAGAAGATCTTCTTCCTAATGAAGACGTCACTCAAGACCCATATCTCTACTCCCTTGACGGTCCTCTAATTATATTGTCCCTATATTCGTCGTTCGCTTTCTCAAAAAATCTTGAAAGGAGATGAATTTTTGATTAAAGACGTATATAAGACGATTCAATTCTGTGAAAATGTTTATACTTTGGGTTGTAATTTTGTTTTTTTCTTAGTTAAAAGTTTTAGGGAATATAAATTTAGAGCTGTGCAAGCCCCAATGAGTAGTTAATGTACCTTGACGGCTGACACCCGCTGGCCGTGTAACAGGCTCATATCATATGACGTACTTCCTTTCTGAGAACCAACAAGTACCTACTAATGGTGGAACTCAGAAGTTTTACTTAAACATGTAGTGCTTTATAACAGACGATCTGGTGCTTTAAAAATGCATGATGCCTTTGAACATGTGCCGATATTGGAGAAACTTCCATTGCAGATTGAATGCATAGCTACTCATGGTATAACCTTACATTTTACCTGAGGGTTTTTGTTGTTGAGTCAGTTGTTCTTTCATATAAACCGAAAATTATATATTATATTAGGGATTTCCCTAGTTTAATACACGTAAGCTTAAATTCTAGTTAAAGTTAGGTTAACAGAAAAAAGATATACAAGTGATTGGAATTGAATAATGTACTATCGCTTCAAGTACAATTATTTACTTGGGGAGTTCTCTTCTTCTTCAGAAAGATAATTGGTTTTTCTTTCTGTTTCGAAAAATGAAAACACATTTGCTAAATACAAAAAGATTAGCATTTCTACTCACGAATTCAATAAGCTGTTTGCACCCAACGTGTCTCAGGCATATTGTACAATTTTAAACCAAGCTATTAATAACCCAGTAAAGACAAAAAATTGTATGAAGGTGGAGGGGGGAAGGGTGGGGTGTTCATATTACCCCTTATGAATGGCTATTTATCTTGGGAATCATTCCAACTTAAATATGGATATCCATATTTGAAAATAGAAGAACCATGCTCTAGCTGCTGATGGATAAAAACATAATTTTGGTTGTGGAAGCAAAACACTGCTCATCAATGACCAGGGCCCGCTTGTATGAAGTGTGGATAGCGCTATCTGAAGCATAAATCTTATTCAGTGGATAATTTATTGGATAACAGCATCGACTTCTGCATTGGATAATGATTTATCCATCAGATAGTGCTATCCACCCTTTGTTACAACCAGGCCCATGAGTTGCTATCATCCAAAATTATACCTTCTTATCATTCTAGACCATTGGCAGTATTGTTGTAACCTGAGTCCACTTCTTCTTGAATTTACACTTGTATTACATGCACTTTTCTTGTACTAAAGGTGATGTTACATTACACGATTTTAAACACAGCATTGTTGCATTAAAATGTGGCCTTGTGAACATGGCGTGCACGGCAACACAAACGGATGACAACAATGTTGTGAGTTTCGGAGGTCATTCAAAAAACCTTCAACCAATTTTTTGGCAACTAAATATCTTTAAAGCTGTAACCACATGCCATGCATGAGAACAATTTTTTGGGCAATAGAATGTATCCACTTATTTGTATAATGTTTCATGTGTAAAATTTAATTCCTATACCACTATTTGAACCAGGCAAACACTAGCCTGCAGGTTCAAAATAACAGCTGGTGAGCAATGTAATGTTGAGCCAAAATTAGCATTATTATAGGCACATCATAGACACTTGACAGGTCACATTGACTGGTCACAATGATCGGTCAAATGTTGCTAGAGTTCTTGTAAATGTGCAGCCATTGATCAGAAGCCTTTATTTTAGCCATGCGTCATGTTTTGTTTTACATTCCAATAAGCTATGTCTCCTTTGATGCAGGTGAATATCTTCTTGTTGGAACCAGACAAGGTCATTTGTTGGTTTATTCTTTAAAGAATGCCACAGGTAAAACATAACATCAAAATAATACTTCTTCCTTCCTTGCTTGCTTCCTTCCTTCCTT